CATGGAGCACTGGGTGTTATGCACAAACAATGAATCATGGAACACTACATCAAAAACTAATGATGTAATGTATGGTGATTAACATAACAATAAAAAATTAAAATAAAATTTAAAAAAAGAAGAGAAGGTCATCACAACTGCAGATTGAATCAGCTCTGCCCCTTGACAATAAGGACAAAACTGGCCCATCTTTGAATGGACACAAGGTATTTCCACCCCACTATTTTTGACCCTCTATTTTGATACCAGTGATAGTTTTACTGTTTATAAGTACAAACATTGGAATCACAACAATCCTAGGATTGACAGATCTTTAACCAGAAGCAGTTTTCCAATATGAATAATATTATGTCAATTTAGTTTTTATTCACTTTTCTATGTGGTATAGATTAAGCCTGTCTTCTTAAAAAAATTTGTTTCATTTTAATGTATTGCAGTTCTTTTATTGGGCACAATTATTTTCAGTGTTGTGAAGATTTGAGTCATCAAATAATTTTTATTCACATTAGATTTTACCTAATAACATGCCATTATGAATTTTCTTTTGTGGCCATTATTTCTGGCAATTCTATTTTTCCTGGGTCATGTTTTGACCACCTACCTTTTTTTATCATGGAGTGTGATTCTTCCAGAATTTCTTCCAAAGCCAAATGTAATTTTATTTTGCCTTTAGTCCCATTGTTCACATTTTTAAAAGAGCTTCATGGTGATATATTCATATACCATACTGTTCATCCATATAAAGTATACGATTCATTGCTTTTTAGTATATTCACAGAATTATGAAACCATCACCACAATCTAACTTTAAAATTTTTTCATCATCTCAAAAAAGAAACCCCATACCCACCAGCACTCACTCCCCATTGCTCTCCAAACTCCCACCCCCGGCCCTAGGCAACTAGCAATTTACTTTTTAAGTATTTGCATATTCAGACATTAAGTGGAATCATATAATATATGCTCCTTTGTGACTGGCTTCTTTCACTTAGCCTCATGTTTTCAAAGTTCATCCATATTGTAGCATGTATGGTACTTTGCTCCTTTCCATTGCCAAATAATATTCTATTATATGGCTATACTGCATTTTGCTAATCCATTCATTGGTTGATAAATATTTGGGTGGTTTTCACTTTTTAACTATTACAAATAAAGCTGCTATGAAATTTAGGTACAACCTTTTCTCTTGTGTATATACCTAGGAGTGGAATTGATGGGTTATATGGTAACTCTGTGTTTAACATCTTGAGGAACTCCAAAATTACTTTCCAAAGTGGATATATCTCCCAACAAATCAATAATAAATTTTTATATTGACTAAAATATTTCAATCAATAACACATTTTGCCAATGTGACAATTTGGGCAATTATCGGTTTTCCCTAATGGTAGCCTTTTCTACAAAGTTTCCATGTTATCCTGGCTTGTCTTTGCAATTTTCTGTTTCCATCAAGATGTGATTTTTCAATTTTTATTTATAACAAAGTATATCATGTTAGTTTTAGGCATGTTATTTGGTGTTGATTATTTATGAGTAGCCTTAATAATTAATGGAACAAAAGATTGCTATTTTCTACTTATTTTTGGAACAAAGGTCATTAGTAGAACAAAGGCACAGGGTCTGGCTATATGTAAAGGTCAAAATTGCAAGATCAAAACATGGGACCAAAACATGCTGCCTAATCCTTAAATTCTATTACTCTTTCTGACCCAATCTCCATTCTTAAACAGGTCCCTGCCTAAACCTTTCCCTTCAAAACTTCCTTGCCTTGGCTGTCCCAATATTTCAGGCTCAGGACTAGAAATGAGAAGGACTCACTGAAATAGGTTAATTTAGACCCAGATGTTAATAGCTAAATATGTTATATTTCTCAAAGGTATTTGCCTTTTAAATGGCAGGTTGTTCTCCAGAGACTTTCAGGGAACAAGAGCCTCACCCTAAAAAAAAAATTTGCAAAGATAGAATTTTTGACATTGTAATGAAGCAGATTTGACATCCCTCAGATCCCAGCCCCTTAGTGCTGGAAGGGACTTTGGAAATCAATGTCATCTAAGTCTCCTTTACTTGTAGAGAAACAAAACCAGCAAGGTGGTGTGGCCGGGGGCACACAGCAAGGCAGGGATAGAGCTAGGCCTAGCACCAAGGTTAGTAGGCAGCATCCAGTGCCATATGCACTGTTCTAGCATGCCTCACCCTACAGACTGTGTGAGCACCCTGCTGCTTGAGAATACACAGAACAACTGTGGGGGCATGCATAATCACCTCTCTAGGGTAAGATAGAAATTACATATCAATGGCCTTGGAGCCACCGAAAGACCCTAGATAATTAAATTGCCAGCCTCCATCTGTTGCCAAGTGACCCCTTGGTCACAGCATCACCGAGTCAGCCCCTTGGGCTTCTGTATCCTTCTGATCTGCATTCTTCTTCTTCTGACCTAATGAGCTCTCAAATCCTTACAACTGCCAGCTAATAGGATGCAAATTGCATATACCATCCAAATACAAAAGACTTGCATGTTCCAATAGATTAGTTGATAATTAGGCTTCAAATTACTAATTAATTCAGTTCGAAACATAGGCGAGTATGTGGTGTGTGTTTTTCTTCCCCCTTCAGAGAAATAACGCAATTTATAAGATGATAATTTTTAGAAATTCCACCACATAATTAGCCTGCTGCCGCATGGAACTGACCCCCCCCCTTCAGAGTGTTTGTGATTAGGGTGTAATTATAGAGTTAGAAACCAAGGAAGCTTTTGAAAGTTTTAACAAAAGGAGGGAGCTACACTTTTATTTTACAGTTCTTTCTTCACAAGAGAAATGGAATGCATGAGCTTGGAAGTAGCCAACAGCATTTTTCTAAAAGATCACTTTGGAAGGATTCAAATAGGCAGCTTTGGGGGGCTGCTGGAAGAGAGGAGGGAAGGAGACTGTGGGTCAGAGAGGAGAGCTTTATGGACAGGGAGTAAAAACAACCCTGAACCCTCCCTGCCCCCCACCCCCTCTTTTTGTCCAGACACTACCCTTAGCCAGCTCTGTGATCTTGGGCAACTCTCCAGCCCTCAGTTTCCTTATCCATCAACTGGGAATGACAGTGCCTGATCTGTATGCTTATAGTATTACCGGGAAGATCAAAGATGTTGCTGAATGTCACCATGTTTTGGAAAGTTAAACACTGATCTGCATAGGTGGGGGATTCTTACTACATATACTAGATCTACCCATCTGTACATCACATATTGTGTGTGTATATGTATGTATATATACACACACACACATACATATGCTTATTTATGTATTCATATTTTATATACAATAGGACAGATGTATTTATATTTCTATAACACTGGTATGTCCATAAAGTGTACTTGAACCTTGCAGAAACTGGAGAACTCTACCATTCTTTCTTCTATTATTTTTAAAGAGCATGAGTGGTGGGAGGAGGGGCAGTCAGAGGGAGAGAGAGAATCCCAAGCAGGCTCCATGCCCAGCACAGAGCCCGACGCAGGGCTCAATCTCACAACTCCAAGACCATGACCTGAGCCAAAATCAGCAATCAGATGCTCAACCGACTGAGCCACCCAGGCGCCACTATACCATTATTTTTTAAAGAAGCACCTAGGGCCTGGAACCCACCAGAGGGCCAGGCTATCCAGTCTGGCTATCCATCCTCCTCCAAACCCCAGTACTGACTCTGTGTTCATTCCCTGCTCTGACGTTGTGGTCAAAGCAGACATCTACCAGTCAGGACCCTCCAGAGTTATAGCTCTTATCTTTGTGACACATCAGCAGCAAATCTTAGACCAAACTAGTATTAAAACAGAGGGCCTGTGGACACCCCTATAATGCACGTACAGAGTTAGTTTGGGAAACACTGAGCTAATAGTTAAATGCTTCAGTGTCACTGAAATTGTAAAAATGAGTACTCACATCATGGGACAAATGACCAGATTATTAATATTGATGATTAGAGTTTCATTGAAACAAAACACATTTTAAAATGCTTATAGAGAACTAGCAGACCTCTGAGAATTTACAAAGGGTCCAGCAGACCCCAGTTTGAGAAACACTCGAAGGTGTTGATTCTCTTTCAGTATGGACCATTTGGTGCCTCCTCAGGGATTAGTAACAGTAAAATTAACAGCAATCCTTCCATTTTCACAACTGTTGTAGTTTATGTGACATTTTCTTATGAATCACACCACTGGCTTTTGAATGTCATAATACTCCAGTGAAGTAAGCAAGGTAGAATTCATCACCTCCATTTTACAGATGTGGGAACTGAGGCTCAAAGCCATTATCTGACTGAGCTGCAGAGGAGGAAGGCAGGCACCTAGTCAATGTAGTTGGGCTCTCGGGAATCTGACAAAAACCTAGTAATGTGAGCGTAAGAGTAGGGCAACCAGCCTAACCTGATG